ACGTTGCTTGCTCGTGTTGGATTATGCTCACCTGTGGTATTTCATGCAGCAGGGACTGCTGACTGCCTTAACTACTGCTCAGTCTGACCAGCCATCCACTTGTGCCTTCTAACTGAAAAACAATAGTTAAACACACATATCCTTTCTGATCCCCAGTTTTTTCCTTGGTACCAGACACACTGCTGGTTTTGCCTCACCATCCAGTTTTCTTTTTCGCCCTGTGTGACTGGCTTTGGGGCAACCACATGTCCCAAAGCTGATGAATCTTTCAGCATCTTCAAAACTAGCTGTCATAACACTTCTGCCTACTATTTTGTGCCAGCTTAGTCCTTTTAAAAGTCCTACCTGTGACCTCTCCCATCAGCATCCAAGATGGACAACAGCAGCACCTGCCTACAAAAGCAGCAGGACTTTACAAGGAATTCTGCTCTAAAATCCTTTCGTTACACTGATACAATATTTTTCCTACAAAAGCCCTGTTTTTTAAAAAAAAAAAAAAAAAAAAAATTAATGCCAGGAAGAGAGCTCAGTCACCTGGTATTCAAGCAGAACTACAGACCAGTGAAGGGAAGCTGGGTGGATGTTGGGAAGATCTTTCACGATTCCTTTCTTGTCTCCTGCCCTTGGTCCATCTTTGATCACTTCTGTCACATGCCAGATATTAGACAAATGAGAAGTATGAAGAGTCACTTTTGTAACAAAATTTATTTTTGCTCTGTGGATACAAATCCCAAACATCAACAAACAAATTCCAGTGGAAAAATACCAGTCATTAACAATGAAAACTTTTATTATTATTTAATAAATAGAACTTTGGCATTCAAAATTCTAGCTGTAAACCCTACTTTAAAAAAAATTACAAAAAGAGGCAAGAACAACAAGCCTAAAGCTGAGCCAGCCAGTGGCTCCTTTACTTTTTACAATGAACACATTGTGATTAAGTCATGACAACTCTATTTACATATGAGGTATTCTGAGCGGGTGTTCAAAAATTGAACCCAATTTACAAAACTACCAGTCTTCAGGGACTGATCCATATGTCAGCTGTGCTTTTAAAAGATAGCTCCAGACACTCCTCCCCACTGAACTAATGATATACTGTAATTAATATACACAAAATAAACACGTTACGATTTGTTTCCTGCTCACGCTTCATATTAAAAAGCTGCATACTATGACCAACCTAACATTGAAAGTGTACACCTAGTACCTAGTTTAAATACTTCTGTTTCTAGACATTATGCGAGAGCTCTTACTAGAAAAGCTTATGAACAAAATATCGGCAGGTAAGAGGAAAACAAGGTGCAGTCATCAGCATCCTAACAACTTATCTGAAGTTCAAGGGGAATATACACTTACTTCAGGCAAAAAAGGCACAAAGGTATGCAGCTGTGGAATTAATATTGCTAATGAGCTACCGGAATATATCATCCCTTTGGATAATAACCATTGATTTGTTTGCAGTCTAAGAATGCAGATTAGTTCAGAAGATCTTTTCCCCACTCATGACAGAACTCGTCACATCAATGAGAAGAGCCCACTTATACCTCCAACTCCACCTGCGTAACATCATTGATAAGGACAAGGAAAACTGGAGCAAACTACGCCCATGCGGAGAGACTGCAGCGTGCCATCGCTGCCTGTGCTAGGGTAGCAGGTCGTGCAGGAAGGGGTTTGCTTTCTTTCTTTCCTTGTGCTCTTACCCTGCAAGAAAAACGTCCAAAAAACCGTCTGAAACAAAAGGCGGGCAGCGAGGGCAAAGGAAGGAAGGAAATCTTCTGAAGTGAAAAGGACAAAATTTCAGCTCTTGTAATGACTTCATGGCCACCGGCAGTTTCAAATGCTGGAGCCCAAGCGGGTGGTTACAGCAATCTCCACAATTTCACACAATTATCACGCTACAAAGCTGCACAGCGGAGGCTAGCAACCTAAATCACATTTACACAACTGAGCTGCGTTACTTCTATATAGTACATACATAGCATCATCTATAGCTGGTCCGAAGACAGTTACTTTCCAAGTCTTTTTCAAAATACATTCTTGAATACAGTAGTTACTGTAAATATCTTCTAAAGGATTGTATAAATTCAATCTGAAACTATACAAAAAATTATTGTACAAATTTGCTGACAGCCAGAACAGTACGGTATCCATTCATCAGCGGTTGTTTTTCAGCCCTTGAGATTGTCTAATAGCTACAGCAAAAAGTTGTCATGACTAAATCTATGCAATTCCAATGTTAACATTCATTAATCAACTCTGTATTAAATATGCTGAATGAGACCACACACACTACATTTTAATCAATTAAACAATCATGCATATCTTAGACAAAGCTTATTCCATTTAGAGGCATCCGTAAACTGATGCATATATAGTAATTGCTACTACTGCAACAGGCCAAATTGTAAGAAACCAAAGCAAAATACTGTATCACTGTAGACAGTCAATTGGTAGTCTGCATCTTTGGCTCATACATCCATCATTTACCTCCCTACTTCAATTTGACTGAGGCAGATAAACTCAGGGTTTTTTAAAATCAAGTGCTTTAAAGTCAACATAAATATTACAGGTTCCATAATAAAAATATTATAATGCAAGATTACAGCACTGTAATCAAAGTATTACAAATAAAATGGGACCTCCTTCCTGAGGGACTTTCAACTCATACTTGAAGAGCATAAGAGCTCCTGAAGTGCTTTGCAAATACAAATTACTGATCTCAACTCTGCAGTACAGCATCACCATTTAACAGGAGGGACGGTGGAGGCACACCAGCCAAGTGACCAGATTAACAGTTCAAAGTGACTCAAAAAATCTCCTGCTCCTCTCTAATTGCTCTGTTCAACTCCTTGTTATTTCCACCAAATTTAGAAAAATGTGTTGCTTGGTAATTTTTTTATAGGTACATTTCCATCTAAGGAAATAATAATGTGCAACTTAGCAGTTTCCTCTCTCCCTAATACCTCTAGTTTACTATCTGAAATGCTATTGTTGAATTCTGATATGAGACAGATACTGTAAAACTGGAGACTATTACTTCACTGCGGGGCCAAAACCAACGAACTACACCAAAGGAACGAGCCGAGGCCCTTGTCACAAAAGCCACTACTGTTAGAGGCACAGGAAACTGTGCCAAGATCGTTGTTTTCAGTTTTGCACTAGTATAAAAGTACACCTTCAAACCTACACAAAGAGCACAGAAATTTAAAATGAAATGGCCTTGTTTTTTACCTTAAAGTAGAGACACCAGGCCCTTTCACTTGAGATTTCATCTAGACACTTTTTTAGTGCTCACAGGAGCTGAACCAGTCAGATTAACCTATCTGAAATCACGATGCAGCAATAATATAAATAGCAACACTATTTTTTCACAAATTAGTCAATGTGTAGGTTCAGGGTAGAGAAAACTGTCAAATAAATAAGTCCATATAGCTAAAAAAAATTAAATCACTAAATTATAAAAACAACATTAACAGTAACTGTTTAACAATGAACAGAAAGCAAAACATCACCAAGTTAAAACTGGTAACCAGTCTACGTTGCTATACCATTTTTTTCTATTAACATAAACATAACCAGAAAACTGAAGATACTAACACTTTTGCCATAAAAATGTTACCCTAGAATTTACTTGGTTCTAAGTGCTAAGCTTTCTAAGAGATTTCTGCTGTTACCCACACTATGGGTCAGTTGACTGACTTGCACCTTAGGCATTTGAAACTTTCTTTTAATACCATATATGTAACTGGTGCTCATATACTTTCTTAACAGTGTGATTTGAGAGTGGTTTTGCTCTTTGCAAGTTTTTGTTTCCTTCAGTTAGATACTATTTTACACCATGCATAACTGTGCAGCTAACTTGCAGTAATGTTCCAGGAAATTAGAAGCGTCAATATGTCATCTGTCCCATGGGAGTGAAACAGTGCTGCCAAGTGACACTCACTGAATAAACTATGGAACATGATCTTATTTTTTTTAATGTAATTGCTTCCTACATAAATGGAGAAATCAAGAATTCCCAAACAATGTGGAAAATTTTGCAGTCCTCAGATAACCGAGTACTTAATACTGCTCAGTGGAAACATTCTGTTCTGAGCCCTGATTTTGCCAAGTGCCAAACACCCGTTTTGTAGCTGTGGTAAAAATGGTTGAGGTGGTTCACAACCTCATCAGAGGCCTTCAGGGATGGAATATAGACCAGCCACATTCTAAAATGGAGATGACCTAAGGGAAAAATAAGTATGCTACAAACACTAAAATACAGTCGTCTTTTTTTTTTTTCTGACAGCCACGTACTACGCTGCAGTTTCATGCCTTCCAGCTTCTCTGGGTTTGTCACAGGCTTCATGCTATTGAAACTTCTTATAGCAATGTGAGAGTGCTTAGAACAATTTGATAGCGCTGTGTTTTATGGACTTCATCTGCATAAAGGAGTTAAAACTTGGTTTTCTTCCGCTATTGGACAAACAAGCTAGACATCCATTACTGAAACCAGCATCTTTCCCATATCAAATTTTTTAGGCACCTTGAAGAGCAACTACATTTTGTAGTGCTCCACGATTGTTCCAATTGCAATTCCTAGAGTGAAGTGCAGTTGCAGAAGCCTCTGGCTTCACCACATACAGCTGTAGGTCCTTCAACCCTCTGCTCTAATTTCAGAACACAGATAATACCATACAAACCCTTGATGAAGGAAAGGACGGAGAGTAGTAGCAGCAGCATGGCTGTTTGATGCTCTGATTCCAGAACCTAGGTGAAGTAATAAAATGAGCACTAACGAAGGGAACAGAGTATCCAACTGAATCATTCTTCACAGCTTGTTCCTACATTCAGTAGTTTGGAGAAGAGATTTCTTGTAGTTTGTACCACTCTGTTGAAATGATGACTCTCCCCTCCCCACCAGACTCCCGAGATTAAATATTCACAATCCTCAGAGAGATGCACGTGCAGCACTATTTGCAGTCTTCCAATATGGCTCCTTAATAGAAATGCAAAGACCTGTGACACAGCAGCGTTTAATAAGTCATTTGCTACTAGATGAAATGTTGTCATTGAGTAATGCAATTGTCCCCCATGTCCTGAGCGTAACGGTCTGACATTATAGTCCTTAATTCATCAATATCCTTTCGTAACTGACAAACGTCCAAGAGCTTCTTCGAAAGGGTTTCTGTGCTGTGGTAATTTTCATTCTCTTCAGCTGAACAGCTCAGCGCTACAAAAAACAACACCCAAGGTTAAAGCTCTAGCAACTGTGCTCTGTGAATACTTCAACTAGTCAGTCCCCCTTGAAAAAGGGGGTAGGTCACTTTAGTTTAATTACATCAAGACAAATCACACTTTAGTATGATGAAAAGCCAACAAAATGTGGTACCGTGTGAACTTAACGTCAATTCAGAGCCCATCAGTGCTTCTCTGAAAGACATGCTTTGCTCTTTGCACCAAGATCTAGACTTGCTGAAGTCTGATGGATCTCAACAGCAGTGAAAAAAATGGGTAGAGCAGCCATTTCCAAGAGATTTTGGAGTTTTCTACAGCCAGTCAGAAAAGAGGGATAGGAGGGCTTGGGAAATGAGGCCATGTAAGATGATGAGTACTACAGACATACTACACTATTCATCCTGCTGGCTGACGATGGTCTCAAGGATTTTGAGACTGGCATATGCTGCACTTCCCAGTACTTCAGGGGTTTACAGTGCAGATGAGTCTATGTGGCATGTAGTAGCTCTTGCTGCAAAGGACACTGTACTTTTTACCTTTCTACCCTGCTGATGATCCAATTCAGCAACCAGTCTGAGTAATTCTAATTAACACTCAGAAAACAACAGAACATGATACATACAAAACTATGTAATTGTGTTAAACTTGTTATAAGAAAAGATCTAACACAAACTCACTATGCTGAAGGTTTGTCTGACTGGCTCTAGGGTGTGCTTCTCATTTCCTGGTGAAGTTTAACTGCTTATGCCTCACCTCCCTCATAATGAGTTTATAGGGCAGAACACGTTTTACAAAAAAGCATCCATTAACCTTCAGGGTGACTGCAGTGTGTCTCAGGAGGGATGGACACCTGGCTACACACCCTTCTTTTCTAGAGGGGTGAACACATCCGTGATTGGGTCCATACGAAGAGCCAGCTACCTTCTCTCCTGACTTGGCAAGGACCTGTGCAGTTACATGCATTTAGCAGCCCAGGTGCACTAAAAGCCCAGCTTTTCCAGAGAGCTCCAGGAGCACACTTCACGCATAACTGCTCCAGTTGCATAGCAAGGGGGACACTGGCCTGTCCAGCTGGCAAGCTTGAGCACCACTTAGCTAAACTGTTACTCCTCTGTGTCAAAACACTATTAAGCATTGGAATGACATCATCACTTACATCTGATTCCCAGCAGTAAGGAAAGGTTAGGCTCCTTGCCCTGAGCTCTCTGGGTAAGAATACTGCACAGTGCTTTCAAGTCAAACAAGCAATGGGACATTTCCTTGAACAACTGGTCTGCTATAGGCATCTTCTCAGATACTGGCTGTCTGGATTGCTCCACCTGCCGTATTTGCTCCTTCAGGGAGGCATTCTCTTCCATCAGTCTTTGGTTCTTTGTGAAAAGTAAGTAAGAAAAAAGGGAAAGTTAGTCTGCAGCATCCACTGTAGCAGAAAGTTTCCTGTTTCAAACCACAAACAATATAATTCAAAATAATTAATTTCCATATATGTAATCAGTATTTCTGTACCCCTCTAAAGAATGGCAGATAGATAGCTTTTACATGGCTGTCTATTTCATGTTACCATTGCTGAGCAGCCTTCACCCTTGAAGTTCTCACTTCCTGACGTAGGGGTGGTATCTATTATATGTCTGGACAGCAGCCAGAACAGTCAAGTATGTAATTAAGCTCATAAAGCCCTACCATGAGATCTTATAATCATTCTATAAGGCTCTTCCCAGCTGGCGTGGCCAGGGGTTGGGTTTTTGGAGTTTTTACTTACTTCAGAGAGAGTTTTATTTAACTGCTCTATATTCCTTTCTTTTTCTTCAAGCTCATTTGTCATCTTCTGAACTATCTTCTTTTCATGCAAAAGCTTCTCTTGCATAGACTAAATCGAATGAAAACACAGATAATGATTTAAAATTTTGGTACTTTATGTTAGCACTGACAAAAAAATGCATCCTCGGTAAATTTCTAAGTTTCAGTTATTTATTGCTTTTGTATTAATTCTTCATTTTTTATTTTCTACCATGTTCACCTGGTAATATTCAACTAGACCCCAGTAGCTCTCTGTATACTAACACAGTTATTCCAAATATCAGTGAAACCCTTTAAACAAGCAGTATCTGCTTAGAAAGAAAAAGGCTATATGTATGCAAAACATTACTCCAATATGGAATGCATGAAGTCTAAAATAACCATGCAATATTTTTTTATTCCAACCAAATCATCTCACTTGAATTGCACAAATGAAGCTTAGCTGTCATTAATCTGCTGCTTATTTCCAAGTTGTAACTAAAGATTTTTTTTGACCTCTATTTCCATAGAGACTATGGCACGGCTTCCTACAACCTTTCACAACACAGAATTCACCTCACCTTCTATACAGCGGAGAAGAAAGCCTTTGACAGCTGATACAGAGCAGCAAGCTCTTTAAAACCATTCACATACAAGATAAATCAGAACAGTCTATACAACTCTACTGTGCTGAAAAAACAACTGCAGGCAAAAAAGTAACTTATTTGTAGTTTATAGCGTCACTGTTAACAGATACAATAATTACTATTTTCAGTAATAAAAACAGCAGTGAGTTTCTAAGATGCTGTTGTACTTAAGTATTGGAGCTTTCCATGACTGACTTCCAGATCAGTCACAAGCAGCAAAAAATGAACAATCGCTGCAACATGGAATCAGCTGCTGTCAATTCCCCAGTTTTCACCTACAGAGTTGAAACTGAGAAATCATGAGATATTTCCAAAGTGGATTTTTTGGGGTGAATTCAGCATGACCACAGGTGTCTGTTGTTGAAAGCACACATATTTATTCCACTAGTTGGCTTTTAGATCTGTAGGTATTGTCTTTCAAGGTCACCTGGCAAAATTCAGAAAGAAGAATATTCAAACCATCTTATCTGAATACTAATAAAAATGAATAGTGATTATATAAACTCCTGATGCTTTAAAACAGAGAGACCTTTTCAGCTTTCATGAAAAAAAAAAAAAATCCTCTTTTGTTGTTAATGGTATTACTCACAATTCCAATGCTGCACTAGCACAGTGCATATAAAGCGTCTTCCCCATCCCTAGCTCAGCACGTTAATATGTAAAACCTGTTGCCCAATTTCAATTATAACATGCAAATCTGATCCCATCATGCTCAAAATACAGCTGGAGCACTGGTGATAACAGTGCATGCCTTGGCACAGTTTTGATTGTAACCTTCCACGGAGGGGAACCAGAGACCATGATGGGGCGAGAAGCTGCATTTCACAAACGGATGGCTCTCAATTTATGGAATGACACTGCCCCAGAAGAATGTTTTTTCTTGAATCTCTATAGGAACAATCGTAATTATTCTTCTTCCAAAGCAGAGAACTCTCTCACAGGGAATTCTATCCGGTAGCTTGAATAAAATGCTATAGGAAGATCAATGTCACTCCTCAGTAAAAGATATGTTTAAATTGCTGCACTATGACTGCAACCTTATTCAAAGACAGAAAAAAGCCCAAGCTCTCCACCTGACAGAACCACAGCAAATTGCGTCAAGCTATGTTGGTTTTGGGGTCTTAGGAAAACAATTTAGCTTTGGAAAAGAAGCCGAATTAACTCTTGTGCAAGTTGCTCCTAAGATGTATGAAGAACGGAACTTTCAGGTTACCAGTACTGGGGACTGTAGCACATAGGAGACTATGTCTATATACAGGCCTGCCCTTTACCATGTATGTGTGCTATCGAGTGGGCAAGAAGCCATTTAATTGGCTTGCCAGCTATAAGAATTATTGGTGCTTACGAGAAAACAGGGAGTAACGAGAGGCAAGGCAGGGCCGACAGGTGAAAGGGTTTTTAATGGCCTGGCCGCTCATGGGAGGTGTGCAGCCTTGACAAAATCTCCCAACGCATTCAGCTCAACACTGTACAAGCAGCGAGAAAAGCCAGTACTTTGTCATACCCTTTGCAAAACTGGAAAACAATAGTGCTAAAATTTACACACTTAATATGGACTAAAAAACCCCCACACTTATTTTCATGTAAGTAATAAGAACCAGCAGGCAGAACCCAGAAATCACTACTTGTTTTTAAAACTGTTTTCACATACTTGACCTGCTTCTCAGTTCACCCACACTGCCCCTCAAAAGGAAGTGCTGAAGTAACGTGCATCCTAAAGATAAGCTGTGCGAGAAAGCACAGCTTCACACTCCAGTGGGAGGAAGGGGAGGAAGAAAGAGGGCCCTGCCCCAGGCCGAAGGAAACGCCCTGGCCCGGAGAGGGCAGGAAATAGCTCTGCTTCAGGCATTTCCTTTGTCCTGCCTGCAGATGAGCAGAACCCGCAGTGGCGTTGAACCGTCTTACTTTAGTTTTTTAAAAACATTGTCTACTGAGAAAAACGGCCACATTGGGTCAGACTGAAGGTCCCTCTAGCTCTGTCTGCAGCCAGACAGAAGACGCTTAGGGAGGGGAACAGGGCAATGCAGTAATAGCAAGTGCCAAAACACCCTCCCAGCTTCCAAGTATCTTCAAATTTTAATGGTCTTTGATGCACTTCTCTACCATGAGCAGGTTCAGGGACACCCAGAGACAGGCAATAGTACCAATACATGCAACAGTACTACCACGTGCATGTTTCATGTTCGTGTCAATGCCAGACATTAAAGGTTTAACTGTGCAGCCTTCCTGAGGGTGGGTAGGTGGTGGGGAAGACAGGTTCAGAAATATTATCTTCCCCAGTGTATTTTCAGAACTACATCTGCCACTAAATTTACACAACTGTGCAAACTACTCCAGAAACAACTTCTAGAATATTCCAAATAATGTCCACATGTTCAGCTCATGAGATGCATTGTTTAATGGGAACTACTGGAAGTGGAAACCAGTGTTTATTTCTAAAAGATACACCTAATGTCTATCATTCTCTGCCACCCTAATCTTAAAGCTCAGCAAAAGCACATGTGCTACCAGCTTGGCTGAGCCCACAGTGCTATGATTTCCCACTTGCTCATAGTGCTGTGAATCCTCCATACTTCACCCTTAATTTTTCCATATGCTTTCCAAAGTTACAATTTGGTGTCATTACTCCCAGCCTGGCACAGTTTGGGTTTTTTGGACTGACAGGATTGACAGATGTACTTTGGGTAACACAGGCATTGTACAATCTGACTTACTTCTACTGTCTTACTTTGTACCATAAAAATGTTAATTTTGTGATATCTAAATTAATCACGTAAACACGGATTTTTTTAAACGCCACTCTCATCTGTAATTCTTCTCTTTCTGAATATGTACTATATATGCAGCATGACATCTTGTCAAGACCAACCAGAATTTTAATCCCTCACACTCAGGAGAACAAATCAACCAAGCAAAACCATACAAGGAAGATCAAAATCATTCCACTATGAGCAAATAGAAACTAGTACTGCTTCATACACTGCTGTCTGAAACAGAATTTCTTTGTTTTCAGCTTGCAAGTTAAAAACAATGAACTGAAATAGATTCTCAAGCATAAGTTTACAACGTGGCAGAAGACAGGGAATAAAATGAGATCTTCTGAGCTGAAGATAAATTGTATCTCTGTTGATAAGGGATTTCAATTTCTAATGAACTAATTTTCAGTGCTTCCCAGGGAACAATGTGGGAGACCAGGGAGATCAAGGATACGAAGCAGCTGCCGTAGTCTACGCTAATTTGAGGGCTAACGCCATTTTCAAATGTTGTTTTCTGTCCTTATATAAAATGCCTCCAAAGTGGAAAAGTAAGAGAAAGTCCTGGAGAACAGAACACTACTCTGTTCACAGACTCACAACTACTCAGCATTTCCCAGTCTCAGCTCCCTAAAGTCATTTCAGACTAAGCACACAAAACAGCCATCCGTCTAAACGTGCACAAAGATCGCTAGTCTCAAGATAAAGGTGATGGGAGAGAAAAAGATCAGGAAGTTTAGGAAATATGAAAAGATTTAGATTGGTGATAATACATTTAGGCAAATTGTGCGTATTTCTTATAAGCACAACATATATGCATAGTATAGATGTAAATAATCTTAACTAAACTATGAAGAGGGACAGAGAACCTCAGAAAGGTTATGGAGTTCAAATTTGCACTTTTTTTTTTTTTAAATTATGAAATATCTGAAACTATATTTGCCTGTGTCACAATTTTGCATATAACAGGCTGCTCCATGAAAATATCAATTTGATAAATTTTGTCTTCTTCAAACCTAGAGAAGCTTAAATGATTGATTTTGCTTTTCAGTTAACAGACGTATGTTACGTTGCAACTTAAATTCCCCTACTGCTTCCCTACAGATGAATTTAATACACCGTAATTTAAGCAAGCAAAAAATATGGTTATCAACAGGAATCAGGCCTGCTATTCACCTGCATGGTAGAGAAAGGAAGCAGTTTAATGGTGGAAGACAACTTACTTTCAACAGCTACAAATAAGCAAACTTGGCTCCAGTGTGCAATGCAGAGATAAGAAAGCACGTTCTCTTAGCAGGCGTTATGCAAGCAGTTCTGTGTCTCTTCATTATTTGGATTCTAGCTCCACAGAGTGCTCCCTTCCACTTTGGAATTCAGCTGATTGTATACTACCATTTTGTTATTCTTCCAAACCTAACATACACAGAGCCAAAGCAGAAGCACCTTCTTCATTTTCAAGGGACAACCCTGTAACTTCAGCCTCTCCGGAGGGCAAGGAAGCAAAAAGCATGGAAACAAATGCCAATTTAGAAGAAGAATGCAGAAACTAAAATTTATTGAATTTGGCTTCAGTATTTGCTGAAAACAGATGTCTGTTTTTTTAAATGCTCAGCTTTTTCTAGAGCAATTCATACCTTCTTCCCTGTAACCTGTATAATGTTTCCTTTTCTCCACAACAAACACTGGTCACTAAGTACCTTTCAAGTATCAGCAGCCTGATGCATTAATCTGATCCACAGAGCTGCAACTGACTCCTGACAACCTCTGCTGTCTTGAAAAGTCCTTGGCTCCAAGCTAGGTGTCCAAGATCCGCCAAGAGAGTTAAGATATCTAAGTGAGTGATGTGTCAGAAACCAGTTGAACAGGGACCTGCTTAAATGATGTGAAATGTGAAGTGGTATGGTTTAGGAAGGCACCTGTCTCTACTAAGGATCTCAGCAGTGAAGCTCCTCGTCTATATCAGTTTTGTACTTTGGATGATGATCTGAACCCCAAAGTTGGATGGGAGGCTTCACTGTTACTTACAGAGGCAGTCCTCACACTTGAAACGGGTAATTGTGATATGACATCCACTAGACCAGGAGAATAAGGATGCTACATAGCAACAGTTTTTCACTTTATAATGAGTATTGGCAAAGCACTAAACCATACAAACATCAATAATAAATACATTATGAGCCCGCAAGAGAACACAGGTCGACTGCAGGCCGTAAGATTCAGTTCTTGGCATTTCTACCTTTGCTTCCTATTTGGGAGGATAAAAGGATGAAATTCAACTTTAGTAATGTTACCTTTATGAACTAAAAATGGACAGAGTAAACAACAGAATACACACTTTTCCTTACCTGCATGTCTAAAATCAGTCCAGCTATCTGATTTTGTTGATTGTCTATGACCTAGAAAATAAAATTGAGTCATTTAAAAGGCTTGAATCTCTTCAGATCCTTTTTTAAAAAATCACCTTACAGGTGTGTAGCCATAGATTTTTAAATGGAATCTTTGCAAATATAAATGACAAGACAGAAAGTTTAACTGTGACAGAACAGGAAATTCATGCAAAATAAATGTACTGAAGAGAAACAGATAGGTACTGAAAAGAAATCCAAATTAGCAAGAAATGTGTAATTCTTTAGTGAGATATTTATTTCTAAAGTAAAAAAAATAAGGAAATGCAGGACTCAAGGTTAAAGATGCCACCAACAGATCATTTGCAGACTAACCTTACTGGCTTTCTCATTCTTTTCTTTGAGACATTCATTCTCGCTCTGAAGTTGTTTTGTGTCCAACATGGGAAGGCGAATACCATCTTCCAGGCATTTTTCTACTTTCTGTTGTAAACTGCCATTCAACATGAAAGAAAAATTAAGTGCACTGACAGAAACTAGAAGGGCTGTGTGTTCTAGTGAAAAATTAGAAAGTTGCACCATCTTCCAACCAGAACTGTAAAACCGTACCTAGCAGAACCCAGCCGTATGAATGAGCAAATCAACAGTGGATGAATGATGCAAAAATCCTCAACTATTGAAGTTACTGTGGCACTGACAACAACAGATTCATGCAGGAATGGTTTTATGGGCCAGATTCTGTGCTGCATCTCCCAAAAGGCACAGCTCTAACAGTACAGCATAGGGAGAGAAGGCAGAGAGGAGCAAAGAAAAGCTTTGTGGTGTTCCCAGCTGCTCTGTGCTACTGTGGGAGGCAAAGCCAGCACCAGCATAGATCAGAGGAGTCTTCGAACCTCTCCAAGTTACAGGAGCTTTAGCTTACTGGTGGCCTATCCTTCATGCCCTCTGTGACTTGTAAGGAGGAGCATAAAGCCACTCCTGCCAGCTGCTCCCACACGATGGCATGACCTTCAGACCCTCTGTAGCTCAACTCAAGCTCCTAGGTGTAGCTAGAGCCTTTGCCTGCTCACCTTCGCTCAGAAAGGAAATACATTTTATTAGCGTTAATCTTGCTGTCTAATTTGGAAACCAGAGGCCACCTCAACTATCTGTAGGCTTTCAGAAAAGACAAAATGATCCCCCTCTAGATTATGAGGGCATGAAGAAAGAAGGCCTTTGATTCGTAAGATGGAAACAATGCGTCAACAATTTGGCTGGCAAGGTGTCCCAACCAGCTTGCCTTTCATCATGGAAACACTTTCAGACTCCTGTGGCATGCACCTTTACCCGATGGAGGGACAGTGAACTGTATTAACATCCACATAAATTACTAAAAGTTATTCCCCCCTGCTTCCCCCCTCCCCCTATTTTTAAAAAGTGTTTAAGTAGCTCCCCTGATCTAAAATGTACCATAACAACAATGTCTTCGTCTCTCCTCTGGAATCTTCTGATGGATATCTGTCCCATTTGCTTTTTCATAGCTATGCAAGTTCCATGACAGCAGATTAGCTACAGCTAAATCTCTCTGTAAATACCTCTACCATCAGGGAAAAGGTAAGAAACAGCTACAATATCTTTGACCCTTCCCTGATACACCCATCAGCCAATATCCAGGGAGCTTTTCCACAGCTCGTGACAGAGTTAGTTCTCAAATAGGAGTGCTGACAGCTTCTATATAATGCCCCTTTGCTGCACATGTTTATTCTATCCTCTATCTGACAGCAGGCTATGATGCCATTGCAGCAGTGTCCCACATCTTTAGAGAAAGATAGTGAAGAGTGTCCTAGGCAGACTCTTCTCTGTGGTATTACTTGCAACTTGACACAAATAAAAATCTTGTTGGATTTTCTATTGCACTACACTGTCATTCTGCACAATAATATATTTATGCCATGAAAAATCATTAGCATTGTAATAGATTAAGAGTGAAAATAACATTAGGTCTTGACATCAGGTGGGAAAGTATACCCGTTTCAGGGCACAGCCCAAGCAGCTGTTCATACCTCTGTACTGTTGTGACCAGCTCCTTTTCTTTTTTCTTCTGACACACCAGTTGCAATTCTCTCTCTCTGCACTGCGATCGTGCCTCTCCGAGCTTCTTTTCTAACTCAGTCATAGTTTCTTGAAGTTGCTTGTTCTTCTCTTCTAGAATTTGCAGCTAACAGAGGTGACACTAGTCAGACACAACGCCACGTCAGCAGAAGGCCTTGTAGCAGGCCACAGCCTTACAGTTACCTTCTGTATAATCTTAGACCCATTTCACTTATCTGAATATGAGAATCCCTAATAGCTACAGTACTTTCTAAAACATTGAAATACTTCTCTTCCTAAACAGATAGGGAAAAAATATATGTTGAAACAGTAAACAACAGATATTAGGGAGCTTACTTGTACTTTTAAAATGTAAACCAAACTCCCTTTACCTTACCTGTTTAGTCTGCCCTTCTATATCATCCAGCGTTGGTAGGTCAGCCAGATATTTTTCTAAGGTTTCAATTCGTCTTTGTTTTTCTTTGTTTTGCTCAGACTCTTTCTGGCATTTCTTTTTCAGGCTATTAATATATCGGTCTCTAGTTTTAAGCTAGAAGAAAGTAAGAGTACATGTTTTATGATTACAGTGAAAAATAAACCTGCTTTGGAAGCAGAGGCTGGTCACTCTTCAAGAACTGTACTCTCAGCTGCATGAAAGGGCTGGTTACTGCAGAAAACAAAACCAAGAATGATTAATCCCAGCAGCTCCAAGTCATAAACCCACATGTCACCTCAAGCCCCAGTTGCTTCACCTCTGCCCAGAACACTCTATGTGCCTTGCGAACTGAAAACACAAACAGTTCAACAGTTAAAACATTCTTAATTTTTTCACCAATGGAAATGTTCCTATGCAACAAATAATCAGGAAATATTTTAGTCCATCCTCTTCCTCAGGCCTAGGAAAACTACTTAAAACACAGGGACCAAGAACTTAACAAGAACTGGAGCCAAAAACCTGACTTCAATGCATTCTGATAATTACATCAGAGGACATCAGAACAGAATAGCGGCTTTCTTAAACACCTTTTCTACAGGCATCTTAATTGTCCATCAGCCTGCAAAAGGTTTTTTATATTGTGTTATCTTTGCTCGCATTCCTGGTACTTACTTTGCTTTATTACCTAGGTCAAAAAAGCAGGAAGGCAGGCAGGAAGGAAAAAGAGTATTTTGTAGTCATAGCCCAATTTAATGAAAAACAGTATCTCTATTACTTGAACTAAGGTGTAGTAATTCACAGATAACACACTTGTCACTAGAGTAAATGCTAATCGTACTTTTACTTCGGTGCTACAGACATCCATGTCACTAAGAAATAAATGCGTGACACTGTCAATGTCAAAGCTCAGTAACAGAGCCTACTGAAATGTTTAAGTCAATAATATCCGGAAAGTTTTTCCAGAGATAGCCTTCTATATGGGCCACAAAACTGAGGATTGCTGAAAGGCCGGAAATCTTTGTATCTTTTATTTTATCAAGCCCTCAAATCTGAACAAAGCTTTCAGGCTGCTTTAAAAAAATCATTCTGATTAGACAAAGCCCAAGTAAACCCCACGTTCAGTAATGCAAAGTTGCAACTCAGCCATGATCTTTTGCCACAATATGTGCTTCAGAACCACATACTTGCCCCCAGACCCCAAGCCTTAAGGCAGTGATAAATATGCACATGTAAGCCAATGTTGCACAGTGAGAATTGCCAGAGGTTTGACTGTTAGCTACGTGAATCCCCTCCCTCTGTTTCTCACACACCACTAAGGGTGACAAGATGACCAGTCAGAATACTCCAGTCCTTGTGTGACAAGGATTACATGGTTTCCAAATCTTGTTGTCCTGCATATATACCACAGGGATTTCCTTCTCCTGCAACCTCTCTCCTAATAGCTACTGCGTTTGCCTTGAGATTCCTCCCGCTCTCCCTAAATCCCCAGCATCACCCCAAGGACTCTTTCCACCTTCTGTCACCTGAGATGAAAAAAAATGTTCCCCATAAAAAAAAATTCCCCCCCCCCCCCCCCCCCCGCCTTGCTGACTCTGCTGAGGGGAAAACAAGCTTTGGATTTTTTTGTTGTTCTTGTTTGTTTTTTTTTAATTTCCTCCTTCACACACACACTGCTGATGACTTTATTGGGGCAGGAAAAAATAGGAAAGACCTTGCCTCTTGGCAATTAAGTATTAAAATCAAGGCCACAGAAACCATAGGGGAGAACACTACTACAAGCTCTCAGCAGTACCTTACAGGAGTCCTTCACAATTACCCATAGAAGAGGGGGAAGGAGCAGCCAGCAGGGTACAGGGGTCTGAACTGAAGCATTTCCAGCCCAGCAGTCCAGTTTCCAGATGAAATGCCTCAGAACTGAAGAGAGGGCTGCAAAACCTGCAGATGCCAAGAGGCACATTCATGCCCAGCATAAGGAAAAGGAAGAACCTAGGCATTTGTGACATGGACGCTGGTGGAGAGTACTGCAGTATCTACCTCAGCAGGCTCCCTCAGCTAGGAAGCTGTGAGGAGCTACCATGACTACCAGCCAGCCATGACAGGGAAGCTTTTTCAGGCTTCTGAAATTTCAGTGCCAATTAAAAAGCTCTCAATCCCTTCAGGCCTACACTGACTACCCATGGAGCCTAGGGTAAAAAAAAGAAAAAAGGTTCTCTTCAGGCACGAGAATTATTCACAAGGTGGTACAAATACTCCCTTGTCTGGTATGTCTGCACGGGGCAGAGACAGGTATGATGCCAGCAGTGAACAAAGAGCACCTCTGATCTCTGCTGGCCCTGCAGTTTCTCAAAAGGAAAACATCAAGTACATCTACCCTAACGTTAGAAGGGACACAGCACTTCAGATCAAGAGGCCTTCTAGCCCAATATCTCATCTCCAACAGTAGCCATAAGCAGATGTGTATGGTAGGGAACGGACAAGGAAAACACGTTTTTCCCGC